AGGCCATTGTCTAACACATCTTAACACTTCCAGTTGCAGCTGAGGTGAGGCTGGCTTCAAGGGGCTTTGATGAATGTTCTGAGCTTCCACATCAGTGGGCAAGGAGGGGATTGTAGCTTTTGCAAAATCATGTTTCATAGCAGAGTTAGGGCAAGACAACCATCCCTTAGGAAAGAAGGTCTCAGGATCTTTTAGCCCATGATTCTAGGAAACTTATCGAGATAAGAACTCAGCTGGAAGGGGAGGCACATGACTGTAATTCCAACACTCAGGAGGATGAGGTAGAGAATAAACATAAGTTTGAGGCCAGCCTAGACTACACAGTGAGAACCTATCTCAAAATCAAAACAAACCAAAAAAACCCACAAACAAACGTAACAAAACAGGCATGCTGGTACATTTTATAATCCCAGCTGCTCAGAGGCAGGAGGATCGCAAGTTTGAGTTCAGCCTGAGAAACAGTAATTCAGCAAGTCTCTGCTTTAAAGAAAATGAAAAAGGGGCAGGGGATGCAGCTTAGTGTAAAAAGTATAGGTTCACTTTCCAGTACAGGTAAAAATATAAATAAATAAAAGATAGAAAGATCGTAACTGAATGGAACACATCTGCTTTAGTTTAGATCTTAAATGGCCTCCAAAGGCTCTTGTGATGAAGACTTGTTCCCAGAATGATGCTACTGGGAGATGGGGGAAATTTCTGGAAGTTGGACCTAGTGGAAGTAAATGAGGTCACTGAGGGGTGCCCTTGAAGGGCAAAGCTGGGACTCCACCCCCTCACCCCGTCCACAACACCATGAGGGAAGCAGTTTTGCTCCAGCTCATGTTTCCCATCGTAATATGCTGCTTCACCTTCACCAAAGGCCTAAAGTGACTGTGCCAAGCCAACATGGTCTGCAGCCTCTGAAACTGTGAGCCCCAGAAAACATTTTCTTCTTTGAGGTTTTTTATTTCAGATATTTTGTCACAGTAACAGAAAGCTGACACAGTGTCAAACTCCGGATGTCAGCAGCAGAAGGCAGCTGCAACAAAGCTTTCACATCTTCTACCAAAGCACAAGGTCCTTCAATAAAGAGCTGCACTTTCACCTCAGTATCATAGATGAGGAAAATATCCTTGCCTCTTGGCGCATTCCAGGTATACCCAAAATGCTTGGGCACCTCACAATCTATTGTACACTCAACAGCTGGTTGATCTTTTAAGAATATAAATCTGATCCCTTCATTTCTCAGCTTAAAACCTTTCTAGAGTTTCTCTTTCCTCTCAGGATGAGAGGCAAACTAGGAGTGCTCATATCCTGCCTTCCCATCTGCTCCTCCACACCAGCTCGTCACTGTTCTCCATGCTTATGAAGGCCTGGTACCTCTGGCTTCCTTTTCTCAAACACACTGAAGTTATTCCCATCCTCGGGCTTTTGAACAAGCTGGTTTCCTTCAAGTGTCATCACTGCTTTACCCTTGAGGAAAAGGCAATGTTTAAACACAAAGAAACTCCATAATGAGGTATAACCTCTGCTGCTACGGATTTGACAAGGATTTATTTATCCCTCTGTTCTTGTCCAATTGGAGCCAAGAATTGTCTGATGCCTTCAAGTTATAAAGAGGGGACTGGAGTCCAAAAGCAGAACGTGACTCAGTCAAACCCACTCAGATTTGGGAGTGGGGGGCCACTGTCCAACAATAAATCTAAAGGTTGTGAATTGGATTAAAGGGAAAAGAAATATACTGTGAGTATGCGCTGTGTTTTAAATATTTACACTTTCAAGAATGAAACTCCTCTTCCCTCTTCTTTTCATTTTTTCTTTCTTTTTGGCTTTTGACTTTGTGGAGTCCAGGGTTGTTCATAGGAAGGCATAGATAATTTTGAATTTCTCTTCCACTTGTAATTTATAGATTTCTCTCTTGAAATTATAACTACAACCTAATTTTAAAAGTCAAATTGGTTTCATCTAATTAAATTTGGAAATTGCCTCATAAACACATATTTTGTTATAAATACCTTTAAAAATAAAGTCTCCCACTTATATTCTGGGGAAAGATTGGTTTGAGCTCAGCTCAGAGGCAACTTACCATTTCTCTGCTCAGTAGAAAAATATTCTGCTATCAATTGCTACAACTTTCTATAAGAGTGCTCCTTAACATTTAATGCCCACACAAATCACCCATGGATTTTGTTAAACTGGAAGTTCTGATTTGGAGAGTCTGAGTAGGCCTGGGATGCTGCATTTCTAACCACTCCTGTGTGATGCAGACATGTAGCTGGGGCTGCTGCAGCACCCGAATTTGGGAGACATGCATTTCTACCCTGTCTGTATGATCATGATTTTTTCACTTCACATCTCTGTCCCAACTTCTACAATTTTTATGTAATGATAACAGTTAACATTTTTAATGTTTTTTCAAAATGCCAAACACTGAGCTAAACACATATTTAATATGATCCTCACAACAACCTTACAAGTTTAGTGTTATTATCCTGATCTCCCAGATGAGAAAACGAAGGTTCCAAGAGGTTGCTTGAAGTACCAAAAGTCACACAGCAGGTATTTTTCAGAGCTGGGATTCAAACCTGGTCTGCCTGATCTCAAAAAAGTCAATGTTTTCAGTTTCTTGGACCTCACTATCTTGTGATACACATAATCACAGTCACGGTTTTGCACAAAATGCAATAACTAAGCCCACAAACTCATTGTTCCCATCACAGCATCCCCAAGAATTTTGGTGTACTCCCAAAAGATTGCCTCAAATTCTCACAAAAAAATGCCAGCTGCAATTTTCTGGCTCTCATTCTCTGTAATCACAGCCCAGGGAGAAGCCAAGAAGCTACTTAAAGATCTTACCATAGCTGTCTCCAGTAGAGTCCGTCAAGGAAATGCCAACATCCCTGGTGATAGGTTTTGAAAATGTACAAAGCATGGGGTTTGTGCCTCCTCCAATTGGTTCCCACCTTTGTGCCCAGAGCTCCAGAGAGGGTACCACACACTGATGCCTCCAGTTCAAGAATTATTACTCAGAGTGTCCAACTCACAGTTGGGTTTGCACCTTTCTTTTTCCATCTATTTCTTTCTTCTTATTGTGGAATAGAAATCATCATGTTGCTAGTGCAGTCCAAGGCATGAGATGAACATATTACTCTCATGGAAGTAGTCTCCATATAGATAACCCTGTCTACTACACAGCCCAGCTCAGTGCTCTCTAAGTGCAGATATCCAAAGAACCAGGGCCTTTCACGACAAAAGTGTCATTATACCAAGGCAAAATGAAAACAAAGGCAGGATTATTCATGAAGCTGAATTTATTTAATTTGAAAGATTGTCTTTTATTCTGAAAGTATATCCTTTCTATATTTTTTGGAATTGCATCTTTTATGAAATATTAATAAAAATAGGAAAGTCCCCTAAATCTTTGAAATGCTATTAACTGGTTGGTTCCAAAATCCTGTACCTGCGGCTCTGAGATTCTCCCATAACACTACCATCACTCCTGGAATGATGGGTCCTTTGCTTCTCCTACACAGTGAAGAAGTTGCTATAGCCTACAGATCTCTATTGCACTTACGGGTGTGTGCATGTGTGTAATTGTGGCCTGTCCTTTACAAAGAATATCCAAGTAGCTTTGGGATGAGTGGATTTTGATTCAGTTAAATCTCCAGGCCCACTCTTCCCTGCAAGGCTTTGGCCACATCCGAGGTGCACCTCCTTTTCTCTTATAACAAACTAGGAAGAGAGCTTCATCCCATGGGCCGGGAGGGCTCACAAATGGTAGGAATGGATATTTGTTCTATTCTTTACCAAGCTCTCTGCAGTTTCTAAAATGAAGGTATTAGCTCTTCTGGGGAACGTTAGATTCAGGAAAGCATAGTGGATAATCTCCTGCTTCAGAGAGTTCTAAGGACCGTGTACATCTCCAGAGAGCTTCATAGTTTACCAGACTGATCCAGAATCTTTGTCTGTCATTAAATTCTCCTTGATACTCCTCCTCAAGTCCACTCTCTATACATGTATGTTTCTGCGTGAGCCTGGTGGGCCTGTAGCCCATGTTTTATCCTGGAAAAGCTCGTGCCTTTTCCTTCCTCAGACTTTCTAGAGTGATTCTCAAGACACAACCTTACCTTCATTTTACAGATGAGGAAACAGAAAGGGAGAAAGAAGGATTGTGCCAAAGTGACTTGAGACCATGGTAGAGCTACTGGACTCCTAGGCTACATCTTTCCAGAATCAGTATCCATACTCTTCCACCTGCATTTTTTAAATTTTATCTAGTATTGCAATCTCATGGTGTCTTAGAATGCAAGAACGTGAAGAAAGTCAATTTTCTCTGCAACTTAAATCCTTGCTATTCTTTCTTTGGTTTGGGAAATTTTGCTTTCTAATTTATAATAAATTTCTGTCTAGCTTTAATTTGTATGCTTTTAGGGAGCATATTGTATTGGCTTAATGAATATATTTCTGCCTGAGTAGGTTCCCTTCCATCTCTGATTAAAAAAAAACAACTAATGCTTGTTTGGGACTCTGGACACTGTCACTTGGCTAACAATACAGTATGCCTAGGGTACACAGAAGTTTAGAGCTCAAGAATCCTGCAACTCTGAGGTAGAAAATATCGTCGGGATTCTTCTCAAGGCCCAAGGACAGGTAGAGTAAACACCAACTGAGTATTAAGGTTCCATGCAAATATTATGGTTTTTCAGATGAACTTCAATTATTGTTTACCAGGTCTAGATCTCTCTTCTACACACAACAATTTTATTCCTTTGCAGAAAGGATCAGTTGTCACATAATCAGTTCAATGCATGGTGTGTTCAGATTTCTTTATCTTTGAGGCCATCGGGAGAGTTTAAGTGTATTCCCTGGCATGTTCTTCCCATTCTATTGTCAAAAAAACATTTGGCATGTTGTATCTCACTCACCTTTAGACCCTCAATAGAACAGTTATGCATCGATTTGAGGCCCAAGAGAATTTAATGAAGCGGAACAAACCAAAGTAGCCCAAGGGGCCTCCTTACCTCGTACAGTGTGATAACACCATTGGTTTCATTGGGAGGTTTCCACTGGATGTAGATCTTCTCTTCAAAAGGTCCCCCTTGGATGGATTCAAGAGGAACAGCTCCTGGAACTAGAGAAAGAAAAGTACGAACACAACGTTATCTTCCATGTCACTTCTCTCGCCCCACTGATCTAGAATAGAGGTTTGCAAAAATGTCTGTAAAGAATCAGGTGTAAATATTTTAGAATTGATGGGCCATGCAGTTTTTGTTGGAACTACTCAACACTGCCTTTTTTTTTTTTAGCATAAAATTGACTACAGAAAATATATGAGTGGGTGTCTCTATCTTCAAATAAAACATTTGTAAATATAAGCAGTGAGCCAAATTTGACTATGGGCTATACTGGTTGGTCCCTCATTAGGAAGCTGACAAACTTTGATCTGCAGACTGAGAAGGCCCATTTATAAACTGAACTTGCTCAGGGTGTATAGGATATTAGTGGCCCCTGGCCTTGCTACCAAACAGAAATGTGGAATTAGGATTTAGGATTGGTATTTTAGAAATGCTTCACTATCATTTTATCAATTCTTATTTTCCTAACAATGTCAAGTTTTCTCCAGCTTCACTTTCCTAATTTCTGAATCACATAGGAATCTTGTGCCTAGAAATTTCAATGTATTTAGAAGCCTGCCTTGCTCTGAGAAGGCAGCTACCTTGTCTTGTTGCTGATTCTCCAATATCTGGCGTGATACTGGATGAATGACTTATGCCAGCATTTTGCCCTAATGAGCACAACTATTCCTGGGGCTGCTTTTCCGACAGAGCAGTCTTCCTATCGCCCTCCGCCTGCTGGGTGCCACCTTCCTCACAACAGACAGGAAAAGGTGCTGAGAAAGAAGCTAAATGATTTCCCAAACTTTCAGAGAACCTTGAAGTCATGCAAATCGTAAGTGGATCTATTTATATTTCAGCATTACAAAGGAGGTATTTTTACTAAGCACTTACTCTTTGATCAGAATTTTACATACATTATTTCACTTAAGCCACAGAAGAGCTCTGCCCAGTACGTATTATCTCCTTTGTGCTGAGAAGGGACGTGAGACTGAGAAAATTAAATAACTTGCTCAAGGTCATATGGCTCTTAAATTGTAAAGAGGGAACTGAACACCTGTCTAAGAGCTTCAGAGCATATACTCTTAATCATTATGCTATGCTTCTCTACATACAGCCTTGGCCATATGTTGCAATCAGTTCCCCATTGTTAAATTAAAATATATTTAGTTTTTCTCATTATAGGTACAATGCACACAATTTGGTGAATATTAAGAATAGTAAAAAGAGAAAGAAAAAAAATCACTCATACCACCCCAAAACAAAGGTATTTTTGTAGTATTTTTAGGCATACATAATATATAGTTTTCATTTTTAAAAATATACGAAGTATGTCTGTGCATATGTATTTTTAATTCTTTAAAGGTTTAACCCCTACTGCATATATTGTGCTGTGATCTTCTTTCATCACTAAAGTCACCCTAAGTCATATCCTTAAAAAACTGTGTAAGTGTTCTTTGGGACCATGTATTATAATGGCTGCTAGCAAAGTTTGCCCTCATTATACTCAGTATCAGTCCGTTATTAGTGGGCATTAAAGTAGATTTAAATTCTTCCTGATTATCAGTAACAGTGGAATGAGAGTTTTTTAAATATTTTCTTGTAAATTTACTGATGTCTTAAAGATAAATTCATGGAAATTAATTTACTAGGCCAAATAAGACAAACTATTTCATTTTTAAGGTTTTTGACATGTATTACCAGACTGCCTTCTAGAAAGTTGGTACAAATCTGGACCCTCCAACAAAAGAATATGCCTACTTCTGATCCCTGCCAACACTATTTAAAAAATTAAGTGCATGTGTGTAACATTTTTAGCATACTGGAGTGCACAGATTTTTTTTTTCACTTTAATTAGCCATTTGCATTGATTCTTTTAGGAACATGCTCTCTACACCCTGTGCTCATTTCTCCATATGGCTCTTTATTTTCACTCATCTTGGTCTTATGGCCTTATAATTATAATCACTTCCTAAGGACTTAAGCATTCTTTCTGAATAGTGTACAAATAGTTTATTCCAGCTTTTGTTTAAAAATCATTTAGGTATATAAATGGTTTTTATTAGTCAAAACTCTTATTTTAGATTCTTGACTTACTCTTTCTCTCTGCAAATATTTCTTGAGTATTTACTATGTTTGAGGGATTATGGCAGACATTACAGACGCACTGATAACAAAGACAGATACAGTCAGACTCTCGATAAAGTTCAGGCTGTGGGGAAGGAAGGTTGAATAATTACATCTACAATTAATTTATTAAAGTTGCTATCATATAGCTGAGATGAAGGCATATAGTGGTAATAGAATAACAAGCAGAGAAAACCCAGGCTGGCAAGTCAGGATATTGAGTGACAAATAAGTTAGAGTTGAAGGATAAGTAGCTGTTATAGGGCAAAAGCAGGGAGTGTTGGGGGTCTGGGTAGTAGCTTTGTGAGGTCAACAGTAGAAAGAAGAGAGTCAGTTAGGAGGTTGCTAGAGTCATTCATGGTAGAAAGGATGGTAGCTTGGACTAGGGAGAGGGAGAGTAGAAGAGAAATTGGCTGTGTAAGAGATTTTAGTCACACTAAACTTGACTTGATGGTAATAAGGACAAACGAGGGAAGGTAAGGGTCATGGAGGGCCCCGAATATTTTGTTTCATACAACTGAAGGATGATATTATTGTTCATAAAGGGCTGAACGTATTTGGAGAGGAAGCTAGTGAGCTCAGTTTTTGTCATATTTCACGTGAGATATATGTAGAACATTCCTGTGGGGTGTGTGAAAACTAGTTGAATATAAAGCAGGGACCAAGGCTTGGAAATTGAAACCATGGTAAGGGAATAGATTATACAAGAAAAAGGAAGAAGAGGGAAAGGCAGGTCTCAGCTGAGACGAACCCTAGTCTTGACAATTAGGAGGGAAACAAATGGAGAAACTAGGGCTCAGTATTCAGAGACTCAACAGGAAAAGGAGGAAGTCGAGCTGTGCTGTACATGGAAGGGAGGAAAGAGGTTCATTGAAGGATTGGACAAGAGCGAAAGATATGGCCGAGTAGTCAAGTAATAGGTAAGCTTATGTTTGTCCACTGAACCCACTGTCCTCAAGGCTACTTGTGACTCAGGCAAGAATAATTTTGCAAATTAGTCTGCTGGTGTCACAAGCCATCCTGAAAAAGACTGAAAAGGGAAAGGAAGGTAACGTGAGACAAGTCAACAACTTGGGCTGTGAGGAAGAGAGAATGCAAAAATAGCAGGCGTGACACATGGAGCCACAGTAGTGCTCCCTCCCAGAGATGGGGGAGGTCAGGGCCTGATTAAAACAGCTAGGAAAAAATCCAAACCAGAAGCAAGGGCTGGAAGGGTGGGAAACAGAGAGGTGCGAACTGATAGTGGTAGGGCCCAAATAAGGCAAGAATAGGAGTGGGTGGAAAGAAGGTCCCTTTCCCTCCATGAGAGATGAGACAATGGAAATGTGCAGAGGCTTTGAAGGCAGGAGTTAAAGTTTCCTACATGGCTCTATTCTCTTGAGAAGTGAGGAGGAAGCCATCTACAAATAGTGTAGTGTGGGGTGGCAGGAAAAGTTACGTCAATAACTTGGGAAGAGTTAAGAAGCTTTAATCATTTAGCTGAGGTACAGCTGGTAAAAATTTTTTCCCCACATTGTAGATTGTCTCTTAGTTCTGCTAATGGTTTCTTTTGAAGTACAGAAGCTTTTTAGTAAGATGAGATCCCAGTTGTTGATTCTATCTGCTAGTTCCCGTGCTACTGAGGATTTGTTCATAAAGTCTTTTCCTATACCAATGTCTTCCAGAGTTCTGCCTAACTTACCTTCCAGCAAGTTTAGAACTGGAAAGTGATTTGAACAGGGAGAAGCACGTTGTATTTATTCATCTTAGAGACCATCTGATGGAGGTGGAGAGGGTCTGTCTGAAGGAGAACCTGTCTGAGGAAGGTTATGATGGCGAATTGCAAAACTGTTAGCATGCTGCTACCTGATCTTTCCAGTTTAGAGCAAGTTCTCTTTCTCTTACCAGATCAAATGAAGAGACAATATAGATGGATAATCTTTCTATGATTTATTTTATAAATTATTCCTGTGTTTTCTTTTTACACCTAACACTGTGATCCATCACAAATTTATTTCACATATTTTACACAGTAGGAACCTAAATATAGTTCTTTATAATTCTCTTAGGACAATCAATTGACCAGTCAGAATGTTCCCCAGTGATTTAAAATGCTATCTTACCACAAGGCAAGTTATTTTATTCCTCACATGTGTTGTGTGGCTCTCACCGAGTTGCAGCTTCCCCATGACAACATCTCTCTGTTGTGGGAAGATGGCATGTTTTAATACTTAGTAGAACAAGGCTTTCTCTGTCATTGTTCTTCTTTTGAAAGTCTTCAGGGATATAACGACTCATTTATTTTTCCAGAACTTCAGAATAACTTAACAAAATTTCAAAAGTATTCTATCAGAATTTTTATTGAAGTTGCATTTTTCTTTTCTTTTGGGGGCAAAGAACATCTCTCTATAACCAGAAATGGTTCTACTCAGCAATATTTATTAATCTTCATTATTAATTCGCTTTTTTTCCCCTTGGTTAAAAATATGGAGAGGTTCTGTTGTTTCTTGCAAATTGCATTTCTAAGATGTCATTACTTTGCTTCTATTGTTTTTGCGTTATACTAAAAAAATTCCCTTATAATGTTTTACATGATATTAAAAAGTGTATGTCACTTTGCAGAGTTTCAAAGAATAATTATGAAGTGAGCATGCATATGCCCACTATCTTCTCTAAGAAATAGCACCTTTGTGGCTTTGAAGCATCCTTACTGACTCCTCCTTCCTCCTCTGTTATTGTGGTTTATATCTAAACGTCCCCCAAAGCTTCACGTGCTCATAGGTGGGGCTTTTAAGGAGGTGACTGGATAATAGGAGCGTGATGTACATCACTGGATAAGTCCAATGGCAAATTTTTATTTTAATGTGATTTGGGAGTGGAATCCTGTTCAGAAGAGGTGGGGCATGGCCTA